ACTGAAGCTTCAGTGACATCAATGTTATTCCCTATCAAATCTTGCTCATAAAATATGAGATTGCCTTTCTCAAGGTTGTCAAAAGCCAGTTTACCAAGTTTCAAAAGGAATTCCTTGCTGTATTCCTTAAGCTTGGTTTCATAGTTTTTCATATACTTGTCATTTTTTAAACTCACTTGAAAGATCAGGAAGTGTGTGTACATTTCAGTCAGAGTCCTTGGAATTTCTCCCTTGTCAGCCTCACTAAAAAGCCTTTCAAGGACAGTGGCTGAAATCCAGCAGAACACAGGTATGTGGCACATGATGAAGAGGCTCCTTGATGATTTCACATGTGTGATAATCCTGCTGGCCAGACCCTGATCACTAAATCTCTTCCTGAAATACTCCTCCTTCTGGGCATCACTGAACCCTCGTATCTCTGTCACCCGGTGGAGGCACTCAGGAGGTATCTGATTGGCTGCTGCTGGCCGGGAGGTTATCCAGAGGAGAGCGGATGGAAGCAGATTCCCCTTGATGAGGTTAGTCAACAGCACATCCAGAGACGTTTTCTTTGTTACATCAAACCAGCTCTCATTCTTCTGAAAATCTAGTGGAAGGCGACATTCATCCAAACCATCAAAGATCAACAAAACTTTGTACCTATACAGCTCAGTGGATTCAAGCGATTTCAGTTCTGGGACAAAGTGGTGAAGCAGATCAATCAGACTGTATTCATCCTTAATCAAATTCAGGTCCCGGAAAGGAAGAGCAAATATGAAGTGAATGTCCTGGTTTGCTTTTCCTTCTGCCCAGTCAAGAATAACTTTCTGCACAGAGACTGTTTTCCCGATACCTGCGACCCCTTTTGTGAGCACAGTTCTGATAGGTGTCACACATCCATGTAAGGGTTTAAATATAGCATTGCACCTGACTGTAGTATCTTCTGTTACCCTTTTCTTGGATGCTGTTTCAATCTGTCTCACTTCATGTTCATCATTGACTCCTCCAGCTCCCCCTTCAGTTATGTAGAGTTCTGTGTAAATCTCTTTGAGAAGTGTTGGCTGTCCTTCCTTAGCTTTCCCTTCAAATACACACTCAAATTTCTTCTTCAGATTACATTTGATTGTGCGCTGAAACTGCGACAAAAGATCCCCTGAAATAAAATGAGTACTTTTCAAAAAAGTGAAAAGTTTTTCATTTTTTACTCATTTAANTGCAGTCCTCACACCCTCAAGCAGCAGAGAGAAGTTGCCTTTGGGGATTTCCTGAGAGAAGAAGTGGGCTCTGTCCCTGTAGGCGTCCCCCTGTGATTCAGGTCTGCTCTGACCATCCTGGAATAGGTGCACGATGATGTCTGAATCAGTCCTTCTCCAGTCCACCTCCAGCTCCTCCAAAGGCAGGGGTGTGTCCACGAAGCAGGGCAGCAGTACAGCTCCTCCCAGCCGGGCTGTTAGAGGACCAGCAGAGCCGTGTAGCAGGAAACCTACCACAGGGATAAGAGATAAAATCACTTTATGACCAGAAAGCATTAAATAAGAAGCGCGAAATATGTATTGCAACACAGTTACTTGAATATAATTTGGTAAGAAAATACTGGTACATTAATTAGTACACCCAGAACAAGAACAACTCAATTACATTTCTTCAACATTATTATACGAGTTAGCAGACACATAAAACTGTGTTTAAAAAGTACATACCATCAGAGTTAACGACGCACTTTAACAAAATCAAAATAATGTTGAAACTTTTGATCTGCATTACAACCTTTATTCTTACACTAATAACTGTTTCTGTGACGGACTAATTTTGCCATGTATTTTCTTTTTTTATGAACAGCATAGGCCTATATATGCGCTTTTACTAACGCAGTTAAATCCCTACAGGAAAAGCGCGTTTCTGAGGATACTTTTACTTTCAGTTTACACCAGGATCTGCATAGTATGGAAGCCCGTTTCCGCCAAGTAGTAAAAAAAATATACTATATATTTTACGTAAAGCAATCTGGGAAACAATTAAAGGGGTGTGCATCAGTCGCCATGAGCCCAAAATGCTAAACCACCATGTCATTACAGCTGACAGCACCTATAATACTAGCTATTAACACGATTTTGCACAAATCACGAAATGGTTTGAAGCGCAAAAATAATCGCTGTGCATCGTTGTCTGTGTACTGAACAACACGATTCTGTCATTAAAAACGCCCCACCTTACTTCTGTGAAAAGTTATTAAAGCTAGAAACTTGTTTCGAGATACTAAATCGCAATTGCGAGATATAAAGTCGCAATTGCGAGATATAAAGTCAGAATTCTGACTTACTAAGTCGCAATTGCGAGATTCCGTGGCTTATATTTTTTTAATACCTGGCGGAAACGGGCTTCCATAGTAATGAAAACGGTAAAGGATATAAAGTCATTTATTTATATAGCACATTTAAAGTTGACCCAAAGTGCTTTCCAGTTTAGAGGGCCGGTGGAGTAGCTAATTAAATTGATAACTTAAATTTAATGCTGATTACCACTATGCGCGTTGCATTGCGATTTTCATCAACGTGCGCGTTCTGCGATCCGCTAGAGAATCATGCATTGCATAGAAAGCAATGTACTGTATGACGTTACCACTGCGTTGCGGTGCATTTTGAAAAAGCGTTTGTATGCATTTTTTACTCCCCTTTTCCCCCTACACACACTCGGGACAGCATCCCGCTATGTCATTTCCTCTGTCGCAGTTGCCGAAAAAACGTGGGAAAGGAGACAGGACAACGAGGAAGTGGACGCTGCAGGCAAGCCTGGTTCTCAAAGAAGGACCTTATATTGTTAATTAAAATAGAGACGCATGCTGAGCTGTATGATAAGGGCCATGCATTGTACAAAGACCTCAGCAGAACAAGATTTCCTTGGAAATAGCAGCAGACATTTCAAAGGAATGAGATGAATTGCCTGACAAACAGAAAGAGAAAAATGTTTATTTTTATGTTTCTTCTTAGGGAGGGGGAGGGAGCTTTGGTGTAGTAATGCAGGGAGGCACTGTATTGTCAACAAAGCTCGCTCACTCTCTCTCCCTCTCTCTCTCTGTTGGTTAATCCTGAACTCCAGCAGCTACAGTCAAAGTAAAAGTATGTGAACCCCTTGGAATTTTGTGGTTTTCTGCATGAATTGGTCATAAAAAGTGGTCTGATCTTCATCTAAGTCACAGGTACTGATATACACAATGAGCTTAAGCCAATAACACAAAAAGTTCTACTCTTTCATGTCTTTATTATGCAAACATATTCAGCATTCACAGTGGTAGTGGAAAAAGTAAGTGAACCCTTAGGTTTAATAACTGGTTGACCCTCCTTTGGCAGCAATGACTTCAACCAGGTGCTTCCTGTAACTGCAGATCAGACCTGGACATCGTGTGGGGGGGATTTTTAACCCATTCTTCCCTGCAGAACTGCCTTAACTCTTCCATATTCTTTGGTTGTCTTCTGTCCATTGCTCTCTTCAAGTCATTCCACAGCATCTCAATAGGATTGAGATCGGGGCTCTGACTGGGCCCCTGAATGGTTCTTCTGAAACCATTGTGCCGTGGATTTGCTGCGATGTTTGCGGTCACTGTCCCGTTGCATCACCCAGCCTCTTCTGAGCTTCAGTTGTTGGACAGACACCCTCACATTATCCTGGAGATTTTGTTGATAAACTTAGGAATTAATTTTCCCCTCATTGATGACCAGCTGTCCAGGCCCTGACGCAGCAAAGCAGGCCCAAATCATGATGTTCCCTCCACCATACTTTAGTGTAGGGATGATGTTTTTATGTTGATATGCAGTGCCCTTTTTACACCAAATGAAGTTCTGCTTGTGCCTCCCAATTATTTCAATTTTAGTTTCATCACCCCACAAAACATTTTCCCAGTATCGTTGTGGAGTGTCCAAGTGCTCTATTGCAAACTTCAGGCGTGCAGCAATGTTCTTTTTTGACAGCAGTGGCTTCCATCTTGGTGCTCTGTCATGGACCACTTTCTTGTTCAATGTTTTGCGTATTGTTTATTCATGAACACAGATGTTAGCCAGTTCTAATGACTTCTTCAAGTCGTTCGCTATCACTCTAGGGTTCTTCTTTACTTCAAAGATGACTTTGCGTTGTGCTCTTGGAGTCATCATTGCAGGGCACCCACTTCTAGGCAGAGTAGCCACAATACGAGATTGTCTCCATTTATAGACAACTTGCCTAACAGTAGACTGATGAATATCTAAAATATCTGAGATGACTTTGTAACCCTTTCCAGCCTTATGTAACTTAATTGTTGATCATAGCTCTACAGAGAGCTCTTTTGTGCGAGGCATGATTCCCATCTGGATATACTTTTTGTCAAAAGCCCAAACTCAACCTTTTCAGTGGTTTTTATCAACCAAAGTCATTCTAGGCCACACCTCTGAACTAGTTTCATTAAATGGACTCCAGGTTTGCTAAATTGTCATTGCAATGAGCTTTTAAAAAAGTCATTAGCTTGGGGTTCACTTACTTTTTCCAACCTTCAGTTTCACAGTTTGAATGATTTATACAATATGTAAGGGATAATGTACAGGCAGCCGGTAGTTATCGCAGAAATAAGCCCCGACAGTGTGATCAGGACCCGACGCGAAGCGGAGGGTCTTGTATCACACTGAAGAGGCTTATTTCGCGATAACTACCGGCTGCCTGTACATTATCCCGCTTATTACATGGCTACTTGCCACATAAGGAAAAAAACTGGACATGAATATGAATTTGAAACATTTTATTGGCATATTTGTTTTAAATTAACATTTTTAAACGGTAATCTTTGTTGGCGCGGAGGGATTTTAAACATACAAGTAGTACCGGCTATGCGTTATTACTTTGGAGCGGTTATTATTTGAAAAGAACGAACCTGCAAATGTCTCAACTGACCAATCAGAATCAAGCATTCCAGTGAGCCGTGTAATAAGGTCAAATATTCTCTGAAAATCAGTGTATCTTTAGTTATAGGAGACTGTGTTTGTATATTATTGTGACATGATACAACTATGTATTATATGGGATTTAGTCATGAATATAGAAAATTCCAAGGGGTTTACATACTTTTTACTTTGACTGTACACACACACACACACACACACACACACTATATTTCCAAAAGTATTGGGGCACCCCTCCAAATTAGGTGTTCCAATCACTTCCATAGCCTCCTGAGACCCAAGGAAAAAAGTGTCCTTCGGTTTTAGGTTAATTGTGATTTTCTATGTCTTTGGAGGAAATAAGACATCTTCTTTCAAATTTATTTTTATTTTTAATTTCACAGCATGTCCTCTTTAGTGTACAGTAGTGTGTGTGGCCAATTTAATGAGCCACAAATGAGAAGTAGTGCTTAAACAGTATAAAACTACAACTTTCCCTTCTGTTGATAAATGGCGCAGCCATCTTGGATTCTGAACTCGGGATCCTCTGTGCTGCTCCGAGATATTTCTCGGATCTCTGAAAAACGGGAGCGTGCATGTCATCACTTCCGGCTTCAAAACTCGGAATCCGACTCGGAATACGAGTTCCGAGGGCAAATGGAACGCACCAAAACCACCGGAAATGGGATGACAGAAACATTTCAGGGATTTTGAGTCATTCTGCACTGCAGATAGGTTAATTGCGTTAAAAATTTTAATCAGATTAATCATGATGATGGATTAATCCTCATTAACCCGTTAATTTTGACAGCCTTAATATTTTAATATAGTTAATATAGAAAAAGTATTGGAGCACCGGTGGGACTAGCATATCCCAGCATGCTCATGGGCCGTGTATATAGCCCTTATATATGTCCTGTTGTAAGTAGCTGTATATATTTGTTTGCGTGAACATTTGGGATTCTGAATATCACGTGTACCCTTAACTGTGTTATACGTGTAATCCTGATGTGCTCTAGTGTTGTGTAATGACCTATCGTGTGTCAGCTTTCCCGCCTGGTGTCTAACCTCCCCCCGTTTGTCTGCCATGTTCATCTCTGTTCTATTGTTGCTTGTAGTATCATATAGAGAATCTTTGTGCAAATCCGTGTCTCCTCGTGTTATTTCGCTGCTGCCACAATACCTGTCTGCCTGGTGCTTCAGTATTTTTTTTTCCATAATTGAAGCTGTGAAGTGTAAACAATGTTAGGCAATGTAATGTTAGGCAATGTAAACAGGTTAAAGAGTGTTGGTAGTATGTTCTGATGGGTGTATCTGAGCTATCAGAACATGCTACATGCGGTTTATGGCAAGTAGTCATAATTAATATATAAGAAGGTTAAATGCTGATATCAATATTCTTCCTATGGTTTAAGAGTTACTGAGTATCATTTGCATATCGCACTTGTACAGTGAACTATTGGGTGACATTTTGCTAACTAAGCCGAGCTAGTAGGAATTAAACTACACCCCTGGTAGAACTGTTTGATAGCGCAGCAAAAACCGATAGGTGTCTCTATAGATATATGCTGCTGTAGGCACACCTGCCTTTTGATATTCCTCAGTATCAGTGTATTTAAGTGCCTGCCTTTGTGGACTTCCCCAGTCAGTCATTGTGATTTTGTTCTGTGAGAAGTTACTGTATGTTGCTGCCCTGCTTGGTTTTTCTAGCTCTGCTCCCTGTGTTGCTCTTTCCCCCTCGTTGTTACCTTTTTGATATTCTTGTAGTTAATTCTTGTTTCCCTAATTTGCTTTCGACCCCATGTGGACCTTTTGTTTTGTAGTTTACAAAGTGTATTTAGTTTCCACAATAAGCCCCTCTGTTGTCTTGAAGCCGTAAGGTGGATCGTCACCTTCTTTTCCCACCTACGCCATACCGTATTGTAACAGCTACAGATAAGTGACCATATGCGATAGAAGAGAATGCAAGATTGAGTTCATTATAATTGTACTGATTTTGTATTTTTGATAATATATTTTATATATTTTCTTACAACGTGCAAATTAGGCTGTCTTGTTATTTAGACACATCGACGGATGCAATGCCTTTGGTTTACACCTTTTCCAAATTGTGTTTGCACTTTTCATAACAATCTGAGAACAAACTCTGTTTTCCGTGCTATACCGAAATTGCACAAATCAGATGCTACTTTGCATATTACTTGTAAAGTAGCCACTGCTGTAGCTACCGCCAAAATAAATCAGTAACTGCTCTGAAAAGAACACAGAAAAGTGTATGCCTGGTTACCAGTGCTTTATTATCAGAGACAATAATGGATGCCCTCAGGTGGCTCAAGCTTCCAGATCCGGCCACCTAGCTCTACATTGTTAAAATACATTCCCCTGTTTCAAGCTGGTTGACATACAAGTGCCCATTAATAAAATTTTATGGTGGTAACTATTAACAATTGTATTTTAGCAAGTGAAAGTACATTTATATATGATTTTGTTCAAAGCGTGCAAAGACATGATTACTTTATACCAAATATGTATCCAGCGATAATCTTTGGTGAGTCCACTGGGTCGTCGTCTTCTTCTTATTCCTTGACCTTTGATGGTGAAATCAGTCCTCTAACTCCAGGTCTCTCCTGTAAGTGGATCTCCACCCCTGGGCTTAAGAAGCTGTGTTGAACTTGCTTGGTGTCACAGACCTGCTACTTTAACTGGAAAGAGGTTGTCTCCTAGGCTTGGGCGGTAATACGGTAATATGGTATACTGCGGGACCTAAAAATAGCAACGGTATCAGTTTTAATACCGTTATACCGTCATAAAAACAATGCACTTATATAGGAGACACGGATTAAATATTAAATACAATTTATTTAATGCCTAAAAATGCGTATGCATAGTTGTCATCACATGACAGCGTGGAGGAGAAATAGAGAGGTGGGGAAAGATGGCGAGTCGCGCACCAAGTGACCTGG